ACATTCTGATCCTGTCCTCCACTCAAGATCAGGCCACCGAAGACATGAGGAGAGTCCTGCGGGTCTTCCAGGATCACGGCTTCACTATAAACTTCGAAAAGAGTCATCTGCAGCCCACCACCAGACTACTTCATCTGGGGGCACTGATAGACTCGGCCAGCGGCCAGGTTCACCTATCACCGGACAGAGTCCAGAGCATCCGCACTCTGATACAACAGATCCTGTCGAAAAGGAGAGTTGCCCTGATCCATCTTTCTTGCCTACTCGGGAAGATGGTATCCTGCTTCGGCATCGTTCCGTGGGCACGCAGACATTCGAGACCTCTGCAGTGGTTTTTGCTCCCGTTTCAGCAGGCAGGCAGGGCCAACTCCAAACAGGCAGTACTTCTCACTCTTCAGGTCCGCCAGTCCCTCAAGTGGTGGACATCGCCTTCACTTCTCAAGGGGTCCAGTTTCCTAGAGCCGGACCGACTGATCATCACCACCGACGCAAGCCTTCGAGGGTGGGGAGCCCACCTCCACAACCTGGTGGCACAGGGGCAGTGGTCCCAGCGGGAGAGTCAGTGCAGCATCAACCTTCTGGAGCTTCGGGCAATCAGACTGGCCCTTCGGGAGTTCCAATCGACGGTGCGAGGACATCACGTTCTGATCCTGACCGACAATATCTCAGCCAAAGCGCACGTCAACAGAGAGGGGGGCACAAGGTCCCGCACCCTGATGCGAGAGGCCGCCGATCTCTTCAGCTGGGCAGAGAGCCACCTCCTTTCGATCAGGGCGGATCACATCTCGGGGCATCCAATGTCAGAGCAGACTGGCTCAGCAGAGAGACTATAGACCAAGCGGAATGGCAACTCCATCCACAACTGTTCAGGGAGCTCGCCTCACGCTTCGGAAGCCCGGTGGTGGATCTCTTTGCAACCCCGGCCAACGCTCAGCTTCCCCGCTTCGTGTCACGCTACCCGACACCTCTGGCGGAGGACCACGACGCGTTGCGCTGCAGGTGGCCCGAGGGTCTCCTGTACGCGTTTCCACCAGTACCTCTAATTCCCCGCCTCATCCGAAAACTGATATCAGAGAGGGCCGATTTGCTCCTGGTAGCCCCGAACTGGCCCCGGCGGCCGTGGTACGCCGACCTAGTGGCGCTCTCCATGGACCAACCGTGGGTGATCCCACCACGGCGGCTCGTCCTTTGCCAGGGGAGGTCACGCACCCAGAGCCCCAGTGGCTGCAATTAGCCGTCTGGCATTTGAACGTGTCATCCTGAAAAAAGACAGCCTACCAGATGAGGTCGTGGCCACCATCCAAGCGGCGAGACGTCCGTCTACCACCCGCATCTACGAGGCATCTTGGCAGGCGTTCTGTCGCTGGAGTACCCGACAACACACCGACCCTACATCAGCGGAGGTTCGTGACATCCTGCAATTTCTCCAAGCCGGCCTTGACAAAGGCCTGACCCCCGCAACCTTACGAAGACAGACAGCTGCGCTATCAACGGTCATCGCTTGCCCCCCGTACCAGTCGCTCGCGCACCACCCGCGCATTAAGGGGTTTCTACATGGGGCCACAAACCTTCGACCCCCCGCTGTGCATCGGTACCCATCATGGGACTTGACTCTAGTTCTGCGGGCACTGACCGGACCCCCCTTCGAACCCCTAGACTCAGCATCTCTCAAGTACCTCTCATTTAAGGTGACCTTCTTGCTGGCGATCACCTCGGCGAGAAGAGTCTCAGAGATAGCGGCGCTCTCAGTCCGCAAGGACTTATGCATATTTCGTGAATCCACGGTGACGCTACGCCTGGACCCGGCTTTCATCCCGAAGGTCAACTCGTGGTTTCATCGGGCCCAGGAACTCATCCTACCGGATTTCTGTCCTTCACCCCGAGATGCCAGGGAGGAGAGGTGGCACACGCTGGACGTCCGACGCGCTATCCGCATCTACATCCGTCGGACCAAGCCCTTCCGCCGTACCGAGGGCCTCCTGGTTTCCTTTAGTCCGAGGTCCATGGGTCAGAAGGTATCACCAGCCACAGTCAGCAGATGGATTAAGGCCTGCATCGCTATGGCCTACGATTCAAACTCCAGGCCGGCACCGGACAGAATCCTCCCCCACTCTACCCGCAGTGCGGCCACGTCGGCGGCCTGGGCTACTCAAGCCTCGGTAGTGGACATCTGCAGGGCAGCGACCTGGTCGTCCCTCACGCCGTTCATTCGCCACTACAAGATCGATGTGTTCAACTCCGCTGAGGCGTCATTTGGCCGCAGAGTACTTCAGAAAGTGGTGTCGGAGGACAACGGTGGAGACAGTCAGCCTCCCGCCCAGGGGATTTGAGCTTGGGTATATCCCATGCATGGATAGTGGGAGCAGCGCACAGGAAAATGGACGTTGTCTTACCTGAACGTCCTTTTTCTGGGCGCTGCGTACACTATCCATAACCCTCCCTCTTGGGCTGACTGCTCTCTCTGTGACTGTCTGGGCCTTTTTCCTTCGGCCCCTGTTTCAAGTTGATGTTAATAAAGTTGAGTTTGATAAAGTTATTCTTGTGGACTCCTTGTTAGCTGCGCCTTTCGTTCAGACTGGGGGATCATGGGAACAGAGGCGTGGCTTGGGGCCGGAAAGGGGAAGAGCCTTCTGTTTTTTCACTCAGTTGTTGCCAAATACTGAAGGATTAACCCATGCATGGATAGTGTACGCAGCGCCCAGAAAAAGGACGTTCAGGTAAGACAACGTCCACTTTATTGTCTTACATAGTGACATTATATAGTTTGTTACTTTCAAGTTACAGTGTACTTGGCAGCATCTCATTGGCTACAGAATCTTCCAGGTAACTAGAGTCTTTGGTTAACCATTACTGCTTTGCTTAAGCACTTCCAATATTTGGCTATAATTAAAATCTAACACACATCCCACTTCCTCTCCTCCTGTTCCTCTTGTTTACAGAATTAGGGTCTTATCTTCTAATGTAATTTCCTGGTGCTTACGTGCAAGTAACCTTCCTTATCTGAGGTTTGCCATCCAAGACAGGAAAATCCTTGCACATATGCAGATTGCAGATTCCTACACTAAAAGATCACAAGTTGAACATGAGCCAACAAAATGAAACGGCTGCTAAAAAAGAAAACACTATGTTGGAAAGTATCACCAGGAATACACAATCCAGATTGTGAAAAATAATTGCCCCACTCTGCTTTGCTATATTCAGATCCCATATAAAACCATCTCTCCGGTTCGCGCACTGCGGTCTGAAAAGGACATGAGCAAAGTGGAATATGTTCAGAGACGGCGAGGGGACTGGAGATTAAGTCCTGCAAAGAATGGCTGCAGGGACTAAATATGTTTGGCCTGCAAACAAGAAGACAAGAGGATAGGCATGACAGCAATCTTCCAAAACTTAAAAAAAGAGTTTCAATAAAGAAGGGAATGGACTTGTTCTTTATTGACCAAGAGATCATAACTAATGAGTTGAAACTACAGGGAAATAGGATGCCTTTTTAACAGAGATCTTCAAACGAATGCTGGATAGCTTATCTGCCCAAAATATTTTAACAGATTCTGCAGCGAGTGGGTTGGATGAGTTGATTTCTGAGCTTTTTTTGAACTTTAAGACCTGGCCTTTCTGATCCAAACTGGTTGCCTCCAATAGATTGCTCTTATAGTTTCTATTTGGGGATGTCTTTGAAAGAAATTGAGAAGCTGCAGCAGGTCCAGAATGTAGCAGCCAGACTTCTGTGACATATTCCTCATCGGGGGCATGCGACACCAGTCCTGGATCAGGTTTATTGATTATGAAATAAATCCATCCACCAGAGCTGAGAAAATTATTCTGTTCTGTTCTGTTCTGTTCTGTTCTGTTCTGTTCTGTTCTGTTCTGTTCTGTTCTGTTCTGTTCTATTCTATTCTATTCTATTCTATTCTATTCTATTCTATTCTATTCTATTCTATTCTATTCTATTCTAAGCTGACGTCTCAGTGTGTACTTCATGCCATTTTTGATGGCTGTTTTAAGAATGGTGCTATAAGGATTTCATTGTTATTTATTGACTCATCTATTTTTGTTAACTAAAGCTGTTAATAGTCATGATCTGACTTTGGTGGAAGTGAGTGAGTTCTAAATAAAACAGATTAATACAAAACCAAAGTATTAAGGCATCAGACTAGAAAACATGACCTTCTAGTCCCACCTTAAATCATGAAATCCATAGGGTTGCCAGGTCTGCTTCCAAAAAATAGCGGACAAGCCGGGAAAGGGGGGGGGGGGTGTTAAGTAGAAAAAAAAAAAATTACAATTAAATTATATATTTTCTTACAAACATTTTAACACGTATTAAAATAATCACTTCAAAACTTTACTTAAAATTCAAAACATCAGATATAATAATATGTAAAATATTAAATTACATTTTAATTTCATCATAAAGCTTTTGAATAAAAAAAAATCTCCACTATTTTGTGAAAAAAAAAATAGTGAACATAATGTGAAAAAAGCGGACTGTCCGCTCAAATAGTGGACACCTGGCAACCCTAGAAATCCAGCCAGACGGCTTTTGGCCAGTCACTCTCCTAGCCCAACAGACCTCAGAAGGTTGTTGTTGTGGGGAAAATAGGAGGAGGAAGGAGTTATTAGGCCTGTGCACCATCTTTATTATTATTAAAAATAATAAAGGCAGGGTATATACATACATACACATATGTATTACAGTATATAAATATCGTATTCATATACACACATACATGAGGGGGGGGAGAGAGAGGGGGGGAGGAAGGGAGAGGGAGGGGGAGAGAGAAAGAGATTTCCCACTCTCACTGAATTAAAGAACACCTCCAGGTTCTCACTGTGTATGGTTGATCTTTAACTTTAGCAAATGTACTCTAACATAGGGGAGAACAGCAAGTCCAACTCTTCCACTAGTGTTTCAGCTTCTTAAACTTTCAGCCCGCTCTCTCTTTGAGCAGCCAAAACAACCAGACTGCATTCCACACCAATGCTACCAACTCCCTTACCTCCCAGAGGTAGATGCTTTCAGCAATACCTGCCAAGATGTAGAGACCATTGGGAGCAGCTGTCAGGCAAGCCACTGGACCCGGGCATATTATCTTCTGCTGGAGTTGATCCTAGAGACACAGAAAAAAGAACGCCGATGAGCACGGATACACTTGACCTGAAAAGGATTTCAACAGGGATCAGAGGGAGCAAGCCCTACCTGACAAACAAAAGGAGAAGATAAGAGCGCGTGCCAGGTTTGAGAGGGAGAAATTGTCACTCAGTGGTAGAACACACACTTGAGTTGCATGCAGAATATTCCAGATTCAATCATCCGGTTAAAAAAAAGGACCAGGCAGGTGGTGACAGAAAACCATCTCTATGGATGCTAAGTGAGAACAATGTAAGATAAACATGTACAATTCGGATGCTGCAGTAAGACTAGAGGCATCCAGAATAACCCATCTGTTTCCCATTTACAACATAGGCTTGGAGATGCATTAGGAAGTCCACAAATGAGATACTAAGTCAATGGCTCTCTCCTACTGGTGCTCCCCTGCGTTTGAAGTGTAATTATTTTCAACCTTGGAGCTGCAGAGTTAATCCAAACACAGTCATTATCACTGATGGAAATTCCCCTTTCTTAGCACTCCTCTAAGAATCCAATGGCCATTCTTGCATTAGAAGGAAATGCATCTCTATGTTCTGTCCCCGTCCCACACGCACACACACCAACAGACATTCAAGTTAAAGACTAAACCAGCAGACAAAATCCTTTTCCTTATGATAACGGAACTTGGCAACAACCTAGTGGCTGCCTGCCAAGAGTTTATTACTTACGAAGTGGAGAGATAACTTCTCCCCGCTTCTGGTACATCAAAAGAAACAGCTCAATAATTACAGAATCAATCAAGTCCAGAGATAATCCAGCAAAGTCTATAGCAAAAGTCCGGCAACGCAGAATGGCGTGGAAGCTTTCAGCTTTGTTCGTCACAAGGTTTGACTGGCCACCACGCTCCCTTTTATACCTTGTGGGGTGTGGTCCAGTGACTCAGCCTAATCTCGGGCACGCCTTTTCTTCTGTTGCGTGCGCTTATCTCTGCGACGCTGGCGTGGATCCAGCCAAGACTCATTACTCTCATCAATGTCCACCTGTGGCTGCGTGGATGTGCTTGGCCCTGGCCCTATCTCTTGCCCTTCGGCGGACACCGAAGGCATTGCCAAAGAGGAGGGTCCTGGAGAGGGAGGCCTTGCCAATTCCTCTCCTTCACTCTCGGAGTCCTCTCCTGCCGATGACACAGGCTCAGGTAACAGAGCCACAACACTCTAAGATACACCGTGTGCAAAGAAGTCCTTTATTAATTTCTTGCCGAATGAGCCCCTAAATAATCAAGCTGTAGCATTATAAGGAGCAAAATACCTTCCCACTTACTCTTTATTGCTTGACCGAATGCCAAACACTAAATTGCACCTAAATGAGAACTCTTGCAAACAGGATTACAAGTGTTCTGTGCCTTCCATACAATCTGAGATTGTCAACTCTAAATCTTCCAGGTGTAAAATACTCCAGGTTTGGGTGATGGGCCATTTAAAGAGAGAGATCAATTCACAGAAGATAAATCTTAATTACCAGAGGCCAAGGTAGCTTCTAAGTAGGACATTGGGATCTCTTCATCCCTGAGATCCAACAAAGCCATTTTTATATTCATAAAAGGGAATGTTAGCAATACCAAACTCTGTCCCTATTGCGGAATAGCAACATTTTAGTATTTTTAAAATAAGAGGTAATTTTGATGAGTTGCATTAAATACATATTCCACATTGGGGCAACGTTCCTTTCCTCATGTTGTTTTTCTTTCCTGTTTTATCATGTTCTATCACATTCAATTTTACTTTTTATGTTCTACTGGTTTTTTCTTTATTGTTGGCTTGCGTTTATCTAATTTGTATTCAGACAGTTAACAATTACTAATGTGCTACTCACAGCAAGATGATTTTTTTTTGTTACTACAAGACTACTTTATAATACACATTAAGATACACTTCAGCTCTTACAAAAATTGATATTGGAATGATAGTTATTTATGGGCCATCAGAATTCATGTAACAGAATTTCGTTAGGCTTAAGATAAAAGGGTTGGAAGAATGTTTCTATGGATACTGCTAGATGGGAGTCATTAAATCTTACTTCCCGGGATAGGAAAAACAATTTTTAAATTGAAATTGCAGGGTACTTTATATTTTGTATGGACTTCCTTATATACACGTTTTGAAAACACTGTACCGTTTCATATATTTCGATGTGGTTTTCTAATTCTGAAGTTATCTTTGAAGAAGATGCCAATTCAAGATGAGTGTTTCATTTTTCCAAATCTTGACTCAGAGTACTATGCATGCCTTTCAACTGGCATCAAATTCTGCTCATTTTCATGCAGCATAAATTCTTCATCCTCAACACTTTTGGAATATCCGTACAGTATATAGATAGTCCTTGACCTATGACCGCAATTGAGCCCAAAATTTCCGTTGCTAAGCATGGAAGTTGTTAAGTGAGTTTTGCCCCACTTTACAGACTTTTTGCCACAGTTGTTAAATGAATCACTGCAGTTGTTGACTGCATCTCTAACGATCCATCAGTGATCAGTGTCATTCAAGACAATGATGAATCCGCATACAGACGGAAGGTTGAACAACTAGCCTCGTGGTGTGACCGGAACAATCTGGAACTGAACACACTCAAAACCATAGAAATGGTGATAGACTTTAGGAGAAACCCTTCCATACTTCCACCTCTCACAATACTAGACAACACAGTATCAACAGTAGAGACCTTCAAATTTCTAGGTTCTACCATATCGCAAGATCTAAAATGGGCAGCTAACATCAAAAATGTTATCAAAAAAGCGCAACAAAGAATGTTCTTTCTGCGCCAACTCAGAAAGCTCAAACTGCCCAAGGAGCTGCTGATACAGTTCCACAGAGGAATTATTGAGTCTGTCATCTGCACCTCTATAACTGTCTGGTTTGGTTCTGCAACCCAACAAGACAGACACAGACTTCAGAGGATAATTAGAACTGCAGAAAAAAACAATTGCTACCAACCTGCCTTCCATTGAGGACCGGTAAACTGCACCAGTCAAAAAAAGGGCTGTGAAAATATTCACAGACCTGTCGCATCCTGGACATAAACTGTTTCAACTCCTACCCTCAAATCAACGCTATAGAGCACTGCACACCAGAACAACTAGACACAAGAACAGTTTTTTCCCGAACGCCATCACTCTGCTAAACAAATCATTCCCTCAACACTGTCAAACTATTTACTAAGTCTGCACTATTAATCTTCTCATCGTTCCCACCACCCATCTCCTTCCACTTATGACTGTAATTTTGTTGCTTGTATCCTTAGGATTTATATTGATATTGTTTCCTGATTGCTTATTTGTACCCTATGATTATCATTAAGTGTTGTACCTTATGATTCTTGATGAACATATTTTTTCTTTTATGTACACTGAGAACGTATGCACCTAGACAAATCCTTGTGTGTCCAATCACACTTGGCCAATAGAAAATTCTATTCTATTCTATTCTATTCTATTCTATTCTATTCTATTCTATTCCATTCCATTCCATTCCATTCCATTCCATTCCATTCCATTCCATTGTTAAGTGAAACATTTGGTCATTTAATGATACCGGCTTCCCTGTTGACTTAGCTTGTTGAAAGCTGGCTAGGAAGGTTACAAATGATCGCATCACTCCAGGACAGTGCAACTCATGCCAGTTGCCAAGCACCCTAATTTTGATCTTGTAACTATGGGGATGCTGTGATGGTTATAACTGTGAAAACCAGTCAGAAGTCATTTTTTTCAGTGCCATTGTAACTTCGTATGGTCACTAAACGAATGGTTGTAAGTTCAGGACTGCCTGTACAATTGGACAATTTCAAAATCAAGATATTTTAAAATTTGCTATATATTCTTTACTACTACTGAATATCATATTATCCTATTTCTGGAAAAATGGATTTAATCCTTTTTCTCGTGCTAAATTGATGCAATAGCCCAGATCTCAAAACTGATTTAAAAATGACTTTACCGAAGTATTAATGTTGTGAACTTTACATTAGCTCAACTAGCAGATGATAACAAGGAGTTTTAATTTCTATGTTACGAGATATATGGTAGTAAATACCATTTGTCAGTTGCCACCCTGTGGCAGCATCTACAATTACATTAACTGCCATCTCAATTTGGACCAGAGGAATTTTCAGCCTCAAAGAAATCTAAAGTATTAGATGGGAGCATTAAATCCTATAAGACCATAAAAGCTCAGTCTTCATAAATAGCTATTATCAAATCAATCTGATATGAAAACTTTAAAGTGAGAATGCAATAAGGAACGGACTCCCAATTTGTTCAAACGACAAAAAAAATATTTTAACCTCAATACTAAACGTCTCATTAGATCTTAGATTACATCTTATACGACAAAAAAAAATTATTTCAAACCAGCTGGGTCCTACTGCATTTGTGCAGAAAAGGGATAAATAAATTCACCAGAATAGCACTTCATGAAAATATACGCTGTTGAAATGACCTAAAAACAGAGGGGACAGCAGAGACAGAAAGTGGATATGGTGGGAAAGGAAAGTGCAGAGATGCTATAGAGAGGTAGAGTGAATGGACAGGTGTAGGGTGCTGCAGAGAAGTCAAGTTTGGGAGGAGTGGACAAGCCCAGGCGGGTAAGCAACAGTTGAATCTGAAGTGAAGGAACATAAGGAAAAGATGCTGAGAACACCCAAAAGTGCTTTTTAAGAGGCAACTGGACTTTGTTTTTTCTTTGAAGATGTTTTCGTTTCTTATCCAAGAAGCTTCTTCAGCTCTGATTTCTTGGATGAGAAGCGAAACATCTTCAAAGAAAAAACAGGAAAGTTCAATTGCCTCCTGAAAAAGCACCTTTGGGACAACCATGACCTGGATGACTGAGAATCTCTACAGACTTACCCTGAGAACACTGACAGATGGGCTGGTATGCAGGCCACATGGACGGGGATGAAAGACGTACATCTGCACTGCATTATTTGCCTCTCTCTCAGATTTGTCTTGGCTAAAATCTGAATTAACCCATGTCAGTGATGCCTAACTTTTTCTGGACCAAGTGCCCAAAGCGTGCCAGAACCCCCAAAATACAATGTGTGCGCAGCGCCCATGAATGTGCCCCCCCCGCATGTGTGCGCGGCCGCCCGCATAAACCCTGACCCCCCCGCATGCGTGGCAGACCTGAAGACCAGCTGGCTGGTGGGATTGCGTGCCCACAGAGAGGGTGCTGCATGCCACCTGTGGCACGTGTGCCATAGGTTCGCCATCACGGACCTAGGTAATCAGTGTTTTGCTTTGGCAGCAAAATGTGTTTTTAAACTTTTGAGAAGAAAAGGAGGATTACATCTGTTCATCCCTGTTTCCTGTTCCCCACCAAATTCAAATTCAATTCAAATCTTTATTGTCAGTGCACAACATATGTACGAGATTGGTTGAACTCTCTCAGTGCACCCCCCACAACACAATACAACTCATAGTGAAGACAGAAAATCCCTAACCCAATAAATTATATTAACAAAACATCCAGTCCTATTGCACCAGTGTGAACATGTTATACCATCTTTCTCTTTATTATCACAGGTAAGTTGCAACAAAGAACCCTCAAGAAAAGCAGATGTCAGCCAAAGAAATGATGTTACCCCTGCTTTAGGGGATTCTCTTGCCATTCCTGTAACAACAGAAGGTGAGGATTTTGGTCACGCATAAGAACTACTGTATAAGCCCTATTCTTCTGGCTCTAACACAATCCTTCCTGTGACAAGCAAAGTCAATAGGGTAAGTCAAATTTGCTGTGTGATTCACTTAACAATTGCAGTGATTTGTGTTAACAACCGTGGCAAGAAAGGTTTTAAAATTGCGCATGACTCATTTAATAACTGTCTTGTTTAGCAACAGGTGCCAACTGTGGTTATAAGGATAACTACTTGTAATCTTCTATTCATAAATAAGTCAATAAATTATGACTAGGTTAATCATGAGTTAAGGTATTGTATGAATACAGTGTATGAGCAACCTGTTATTCTGAAATCAGGTGGCACTGAGTTCATAAAATAAAAAAATTCTTTTTCCCAAGGGGAAAAAACTTAAGCTGTGAAGTACAGTAGTGGCCAAAATTGTGGAACCCTTTTGGGAAAAGTGTATTTTCTAAAACTAGCAAATAACACCACTCTTTTTTTGGAGTAGTACCATAAAATTATATATCAATGGAAAGATAATTTAATCAAGAATGTAATGCAATAACTTTTATGAAGGACTTGCTATTAGAATAGCAGTTACAATATAAAGAAGAAAAGTGAAACACGTAGAAAAAATGAGATATACAAAAATTATCAACATAGAAAAAATAAGATATACAAAAATTATCACGTCAGTTAATAGTTGAGTAACCTTTAGCATGAATTACGGCCTTATAACATCTTCCCATGGAGCGAACCAAGTCTTTTAGTTTTGCAGCTGTTATAATGTGAAACCAAGATCGAGTGACTGCTTCTATTAACTGGGTTTTATTGCTGGGTTGTTTCTAACTAACAAGTTTCTTTAGTCAGCTCCATAGATTTTCAGTTGAGTTACGGTCTGGGCTATTCCCAAGCCATTCCAGCAATGGAATATGATTATCTTGAAACTCCAAAAAAAAAAAAAAAAAGTGATGTTATTAGCCTTCAAACCTCAAAAATACACTTTTCCCAAAAGGTTTCCACAATTTTGGCCACTACTGTAGAGAGAACTAGCATTTACCAGATTCAATCAAAACCAGGCTGAGGGAAGCAAGTGGTTAGGGTCCATCTCATTTGGAAAGAGGTTGCAGCTCAGTGTATCTGCTTTGCAGGTAAAAAATTCTAATCCCTGATCAGCAGAACTGTGAAAAACTCCTGCTATATCTTGGACAGTAACACATTAGACAAATAATGAACTAGATGGATGAACATCTAGGTTCTATTTCAAGTGTTTATTATGGGATGTATACGTTTAGAATTCATACTGTGTAGAAACACAACTTCTGCATATATGCACAAAATACTGAATCATGAGGAACATTTTCACATCAGAAACGAGAATAGCTTGGGGACATATGAGGCGGGGAATTATTACTAGAGTCTTCTTATGTGGGCCACGCTACGAAGAAGTTTGAATCAGAGAGGTGCTAGGAAAAGAGGTTCCTACCGAAACACCTTTATGTTAGTGATTCTTTCTGAAAATATTCGCACCAGGGGAGAAACGCACACAGGGAATATATAATTAAACCTTTCTAACAAGATTTTTGTTCTTGAAGTTGCCTTCAGAACGAAGATCTCTGTGGAGAGTACTCCTGGAATGCTGGAACAATTTCCCAAAGAGATAAGATATTTTTATGGGGTATTTCCTACACAGGGAGCTTTAGCATTTTCAGTGAAGGAACCAAATGACAACTCTTTAAAAGGTTACTGTGGAAGGCTTATATCTCAGACACTCCAGTTTAAATCTCCTCTCATCCTCCAAAACTTTTCACAAGCTTTGGATCCATCTCTCTCTTTCGATTCAATCTACTAGACAAGGTTGCATTTTGGATTATATTATTATTCCTATTATTATAAGGATATTATTATTCTTCCTATTATATAGGGAAATGACCGTCATCTTGAACTCTAGAGAGAAAGGCAGATTATAAAACTAATGCATATAAATATGAGCAGATGTATACAGGTAGTCCTTGACTTACAACCACAATTGAGGCCAAAATTTCTGTTAAGTGACACATTTGTTAAGTGAGTTTTGCCCCTTTTTACAACCTTTCTTGCTACAGTTGTTAAGTGAATCACTATACAGCTGATGAGATAATAATCTGGTTGTTAAGTGAATCTGGCTTCCCCATCAACTTTGCTGGTCAGAAAGTCACAAAAGGTGATCACATGAGCTTGGGAAACAGCAAACGGTCATAAATATGAACCAGTTGCCAAGCATCTTAATTTTGATCCCGCGCCCATGGGGAGGCTGCAAAGGTCGTAACTGGGAAAAACGGTTATAAGTCACATTTTTTCAGTGCCCTTTGACTTTGAACAGCCGCCAAATGAACTGTTGTAACTCGAAGACTACCTGTAGTTATGCATGCACGCATACACGTGTATTAGTATCACGTGCACTCGTGGATCTACGTAATGCGTGTCAATACATACAGACGACTATAGCATACAATAGCAATGTTGCATTGTATAGCGAAGGCTTGGAGGGAAAAGTCAAATTCTTCCCGAAATAATATCTGTCTCCGAGAGTCACTCCTCATCCTCCGCCTTACCTTCCTCTGGAGCTCCCAGGCTCCCACGCAGGCTTTGCCGAGCTGCGCCCCGAGAAGATGCTCCCCGCCGAGCAGCGTCAGCCCACGAGGGGCGCAGCAGCCCCCGCGGTAGCCGGCTACCGATGCCCCGGAGCCCACTTCCCACACCGAGCAGCAGCCGCTACCCGACGAGTTGGAAGAGGAGCCGCCGCTACCGGGTCCCAAAGAGGTCTCGCCCGCCGCTGCCACCACCGCCACTTCCACGGGACCCCCCAGACCTCCGCCGGCGACCGCCATCTTGGCCAACCCGCCGGACCGCGCCGACACACCCCCTCCTCCTCCTCAATCGTGCGCAGGCGCAGCAGGAAGTCGCGGTCTCGAGGAGGCAAGTTGTTGACCATAGAGTTGAAAATCCTAGACCGCACTTCCGCCCTTGAGAATTGTAGATCTAGCTGAGAATAAGCTTTCCTCTCAGAGCGGGAAAAAGTGTTGCAATAAAATGTTATGTACAACAATAACAAACATTGGGTGTTAATAAACTCTGGAAGGCTGGAAAGACAGAAATGGTAAACTCATACAGCACAATATTTTCTTTTTCTGCTGTGCATTCAGTAAAGAATCAGAACATACAACTATGATATAATACACAATGTTTTCTCAACTGTGGCAACTTTAAAGATGAGTGGACTTCAACTCCCAGCATTCCACCGTCAGCCATGCTGGCTGGGGAATGCTGGGAGTTGAAGTCCACTCATCTTACAGTTGCCAAGGTTGAGAAACTGGACAATACATTGTGTGGCTGTCAGATAAACATATTCAAAAACTCTCACTCTTTTTCAGTGGTGGGCATCCTGAAAACTGAAAAATTAGGGTGTCTGTGAGTCCAAATCAAAATATTTTATATTTCTTTGTAAGTTTTTGTTTGAAGTGTAGGTTTCCTAAAATACATGCAGCGGTCAAGCATTTTAGGTAATTATATTAAATAGGACAACCTAGGTCATTCACACTCAATAATATAAATAAAATGGCAGAAGACATCACTTTTGTTGATCACAGCAAGGGTACTGCCACAATTTTTACAGTGTAGAATTAAATCCTATATAAGTCTCTCTCTCACACACACACACAATACTTCTTAGTGTAACATATCCTAGGAATGAGTGATGATAAGTTTTATCTTCCAGGCTAAGTTGGAATTAAGGTGGGCATCTAAACCAGCCAACTATCTTATCTGATACAAATAAGAGGGTTACATGGCAAGTTTCTGTGGTGTATTATCTGTCAGCAATATGCACCTATCTGGTAAGAACGTTGGTGTCATTAATTCCTTCAGTCTGCTTTTAAAAGCAACAAATTCATTTTGCTTCACTGGCTAGTTAAACTAAAAGTTGACCCTTCCTTCAGCCCTTCTATAACTTTCAATCAGAAAATTTTGTTTATTGGGTAGTTTTAAAAACATCAAAAACAACTCCACTTACTATCAAGCAAGTGAGCTCTCGGGTAATTTGTTTATTGGTTATTATCTTATTAACCTCTGTAAACTTACAGCAGTACAAAAATATTTTTTTCTTTGAATTAGAACGCATTTCACAAGATTACATTAGAGGAAAGAGGCCAGTTCACCACATCCCCCAAGCAACACATCTAGTTTTGCTAAATTCCAGCACAGGGAACTATCAAAAACCAAACAAAAACATTCATTGGCATTACAGTAACTGAAAGTGTGGTAAGAGGGAATGAGATGTTTATAAACACACAGGAAAATTATTTGAATATTAAATATGACATGTAACAGTGAGTGTGGCAGACAAACTTAAGAAAATAGCACAAGGCAAGTGCAATGCAGCATATGGCCCTCATCTTTTTATAAGGTGCATCATTAGATGATAGAGGTTGTACAAAGTCAGCTTTGTTTTAGGGGGAGTTTTAGGAATGGGGAATACCAAACACTTCGACCATTGTTGACTTATCAGATCTACAACCAAAGATGAGCAATAGCTCGAGAGGACGGTGGTAGCAGCAATTACTAAGAGGCACAATCCCCTGGAAATCTCACCCATGCTAGCCCCTCTGAAGTGAACAGATTGTAGCTTGCTTTAAACCCCATCCCCACCCCACCCCACCAAGCAGATTCTGATTCTGATCATCTGTATTCTGCATATAGAGGCCAATGGGAAGACTCAGCAAAGGGGTTTTATGCCTAACAAAGAGAAGGGAAAACACAGGTATTTGTGTTCCTGAAGGCATCCTTGCCTGTTTTGAGTAAATTGTAGCTGGCTATTAGCAAAGCATTTCCTATGAACACCAAAGATTTTGGATAGTTTATCTGTTGCATAATTAATGGGATCAGGAATTACAAGATGTTCAGCTCAATCTACTGTTGTCTATAAAACTTGGGCTGCAAGGCCTTTACTGAAGAAGCCTCCCGTAACTAATCAGTCTGTCCAAGAGAAGGGAGTGGTTTGGGCTGGAGCTCGCAAATATGCAACCGCTTATCTGCCGCCACTCCTGATTTGCTGCCTTGCCAATTGTGCACTGCCTAAACTAGTGTTTCTCAACCTTGACATTTTTTAAGATGGGTGAACTTTTAACGTCCAGAATTTCCCCAGCCAGGGGAAATGCTGGCTGGAGAAATTCTGGGCGTTAAAAGACCACCCATCTTAAAAGTTGTCAAGGTTGAGAAACACTGTGGCCTAGACTCAAGGTTAGGTTTATTTGGCATCAGACACAGATCAGCACCCTGTGGATGATGGTGCTTCATGCAAAAGGCCCATCACCCATGCTTAGCCCTCTCTTCCCAGACAGAAACAGTTAGCCAAGACAATACAGAGAACATAGATTTTTTTTTTTTTAAAAAAAGAAGAAGTTTGCAGGTCTGTTAGCAGGTGGGCGGTGAGTGGGAAGAAAGTCCACCTCTGCTCCTATGACAGTTTCCATGGAGACTAGTCTGTCTCATTGTCCTCATCTGTTATGCTCTGCCCATTCACAGCCACTGAGTCGTAAGGGCCCTGGGACAGGTCTTCAAAGTCGTGGCTGGTGGCAGGGGAGATGATGTCTGGACTGGTGTCACAGGACTCGGTGGTCTGCTCTGAGGTAGCAATGGTTGTGGCGGTACTTTTTGGGACAGGATCAAAGTCATCGTCTTCAAGGATGGGAGATTCGTGTACATCTGGAAATGCAGAAGGAAGATTTGTTACAGAATGATCAGGAAGGCAGGAAAAGGCATTGGATCTACTAAGTTTGTTCAGCCTTTAGTACAGGCCCACCAGCGGAACTAAACTGTTTTCTGGCCCTTAAATATCAGTCCCCATTTGACCTATGTCCTGCCTTACTGAACAGAACAGCTGTTAAGGTTATTAAGAAAATGAATATAAAGCAGTCTACCACATATAAATTGTAACTGGACTTTTATATTTAATGTACATAAAAACAGAGAATATTAACTGCAGCACTGAAACAAAAGGTCCAAAAGTGAAAAAGCCTTGGAAAAGAACAGTACATTTCTCTGGGTGAACAAATGGGATACAGGTAGTTTTCAATTTATGACTGGTGGTCCATAAAATGTCACAACACACACACACACACAGTCACATGACTACATTTAGGTGCTTGCCAAATAGCATGCGTTTATAACCAGATGTAGTGTCCCTTGGCCACATGACCATGATTTATGATTTTTATTTTTTTTGCCAGTTTCAGGAAGAATGGATTCACTTAACCACCACATGGTTTGCTTAACAACCACCATATGCAGTGGTGGGTTTCCCCCAGTTCGGACCGGTTCGCAAGAACCGGTAGTAAAACCGGCGGGAGGCTCCGCCCATTGACCCATACGTCATCATAGGTTATCTGCGCATGGACAGAAGCCTCTGCGATGTGTAAAAGAGCATGCGTGAGCAAAGTGAGTGCACGCACGCAGGCATGATGCAAACCGGTAGTAAAGGTAAGAGAACCCACCCCTAGGTCAAAAAATTGGGCCTCGTCATGCGGGTGTCTCGACTTAGGATCACAACAATTTACAACCAAAATTCTGGTCTCAATTATGGTTGTAAATCAAGATCATCTGTACTATCAAACCTTATTGTACAGATAGTACTTGACTTACAACAGTTCATTTCGTGACTGTTTGAAGTTACAACAGCACTGAAAAAAGTGACTTATGACCGTTTCCCCATACTTATGACCGTTGCAGCATCCCCATGGTCACATGATCAAAAGGTGCTTGGGAACTGACTCACTTTTATGACGGTTTTAATGTCCTGGGGTCATATGATCCCCTTTTGCAACCCTCTGACAAGCAAAGTCAATGGGGAAGGCACTTAACAACCGTTTTATTAATTTAACAACTGCAGTGTTTTACTTAACAACTGTGGCAGGAAAGGTTGTAAAATGGAGCAAGATTCACTTAAGAAGTGTCTCACTTAGCAACAAAAATTTGGGGCTCAACTGTGGTTGTAAGTTGAGGACTACCTGTACTCAGTTCCTTTAGTTACTCAGGATTAGTTACTTTAGGATGTGATGATCTCCAAGCTCCCTCACTGCTTATAAACCAGTTATGGAATTATTAGGCCATTCAGCCCACACTTAACTAATTTCTCAGTCAGTATCTCATAGATAGAAATGCTTTGCTGAAATAAAGATATATCCACAGCATTCACATAATCTGTCAAGGATGTATACATTAAATACATTCATTTATCTAATAATAATAATTAACTGCAAGAAAACTTAAGCTTATCTTACACAGTACTGAAGTTCCTTTTTTGTAGCCTGGCTTTTTATCCAAAATTTCTGTTAATCAGGTCATTGTGAATTGGTTCACACATTAAGCCATAATAAGCAGTGTGTCCATCAGACTAAGTCAAAACTAAATAAACCCCATGAAGATTTAGAGAAGCAAGGACCACTTCATGCTGTCACAAATACTGTTAAATACCATTACTATTTAATACTATTCATTTTTTAACTATAGTATCATTAGAAGAACTTGTATTGAAGAGAAGTCTACTTACTGCTAAATGCTTCTGGATACTGTTTTGCTAGCTTTCCTTTCAGAGTCCTGCAAGAAAAAGAAAAGAACTAATTATACCACAGTTGTTTCAAAAGTGGGGGGATGGGGGACAGGCGTGAATTGTCACTTAATAGTGCAAGGAAAAGAAAACAATATGCAAACTTTTTTCAGAAGACTGTTTCAAAGGTGTTTTTGTTTTTTGGAGGAGGAAGGAGGGAGAGGAGGAGGAGGAAGGAGAAGGAGAAGGAGAAGGAGGAGGAGGAGGAGGAGGAGGAGGAGAAGAAGAAGGAGAAGGAGAAGGAGGAGGAGGAGGAGGAGGAGGAAGAAGAAGAAGAAGAAGAAGAAGAAGAAGAAGAAGAAGAAGAAGAAAAAGCAGCAGCAGCAGCTTCATCAGTTCTGGCAGGATAGTGAAGGCTACGGAAGGATTAGTTCTGACAGGATGGGATGGTGGTGGAAGGATCATATTTCTTTGCAGTCCTCTGGTCGTTAGTACTCTCCCTGAGAGTTCTTGACGCAACTTGGGGGTTTATCTGTGCCCTAAATCCAACTCGTGATGGCGAACCTATGGTACCATGCCACAGGTGGCATGCGGAACCATATCTGTGGGCATGCGAGTGTTGCCCTAGCTCAGCTCCAGCGCGCATGCGTGCGCCAGCTAGCTGATTTTCGGGCCTTCTGGGCCCACTGAAAGTTGGGAAACGGCCATTTCCGGCCTCCGGAGGGCCTCCAAGAGGATAGGGGAGGCCGTTTTCGCCCTCCCCAGGCTCCAAGAAACCCTCTGGAGCCTGGGAAGTGTGAAAAACGGGCCTATCGGGCCCACTGGTAACCTTTTTGCCGTTGCGTGCCAAAAATGGGGGGAGCGCGGGGGGGTTGTGCGCGAATGCGTGTGGGGGCATTGAATTATGGGTATGGGCATGCACACTCGCCCCCCCCCGCTTTTGGCACGCGACGGCAAAAAGGTTAGTCATCACTTCCCTAAACCCCCAAGTGGCCTCAAAAGCTCTGAGGGAGAGTGCCAACAACCAGAGGCCTGCAAAGAAATATGATCCATCTACCCACCCACCCCATCCTGTCAGAATGAATCCTTCCATTGTCCCCACCATCCTGCCAAAACCAATGAAGCTTCTTGGATGAGAAGCGAAACGTCTTCTTCTTCCTCAAGGGAAAAAAAAAAAACCCAGTCCAGTTGCCTTTTGAAAAAGCACCTTTGAGACAACCATGACCTGGATGACTAAGAATCTCCACAGGCATCTTTTTTTCAGAAGAATTATGCTACAACTCCCCTTCAATCTGTGTGGGCTTTCCCAAGATCCCGTGCTCTGAAGAAAATTCAGAAATCGTTGATGAAAATTTCAGAGCCACAAGAGGAGCTTCTGGGGCAAGAGAAGAGCTGGATGCCCGAAGAGGCAGTATATGTACCTGATCCTCCGAAAAATACTATCCAAATCTTTCTTCATCTCCACCAAGGTCCGGGTGTGGTGAAGGAAGCGTTCATTCATCTGCTGCATTCGGACCCCAGATAGATTGTTAAAGTTGAGTAACATCTCGTTGGTTTTCTCAAATCGGTCAAGCCTGAACAGGAAGGCAAGAGGTTGAATTAGACGGGCACCAATAATTCTGTGATCATGACGGGGATCTTCTAACAAAAACACTACAGGTATTTGAAACTATTTGTTCAATGACCATTTGAAGCTCCAACAGCATAAGGGACTTATGAGCTATGCCCTAAATTTCGGCTGTTGCAGCACCTCCAAGGTCACATGATCAAAATTTGGATATTTGGCAGCCCGAGGCAGCCTTATGACTGCAGGGGCACCACAACTTCCCTCATTCTCTGATTTCTCCCTCCAACATTTGTCCTTTCGGTCACCTTGCATAGTGGCATTCAGAGGCAATGTAAGAGCTGAGGCCCTGCTGTGCTTAAATGACCATCATTTTCTCCCGTTGCCAATGAGACACACTTGGCTTGACCTACATATGCAAGGCATATGCTGGCTGCACAAAGCCTCCTTCCCACGGCCGCTTGCGCCATTCTCCAAATCGTGTGTGCCATGCATCGTCCAAATAGCACACCCCATTCTTGCAATACTTCAGAAAGCTTCTGAACTGTTCCCTAGGTCTCACAAAAACAGGCACACTACAGAAAGTCCGATTTATGACCACAATTGAGCCCAACGTATCTGTTGCTGAGACAGTTGTTCAGTGAGCTTTATCCCATTTTACAACCTTCCTTGCCACAGTCGTTAAGTGAATCGCTGCAGTTTTCAAGTTACTAACACAGTTCTTACCATGAATCTGGTTTCCCCATTGACTCTGCTTGTCAGAAGGTGGAAAAAGGAGATCACATGACCTCGGGACACTGCAACTGTCAGAAATATGAGTCAGTTGCCAAGCATCCAAATTTTGATCACATGGGTTTGCTGCAACGGTCGTAAGTGTGAAAAACGGTGCTGTTGTGACTTTGAATGGTCGCTAAACAAATGGTTGTAACTCGAGGACCACCTCTATTTGGAGAATCCATTCTTCAAGTGCTTTGCAATGCTTCCCAACAGTTTTGTCCAATGGGAAAGTGCCAAGGAGTTTGCTATTGCCAGCTCACTTCCTGCTTTTTTCACTTCTTGTCTTCCCCATTGGATGGCATTCTTACAGTATTTGCATCATACTGGGGCATACTGGGGTGTGGCAAGCAGCCCCACGCAGTTTCTCCACTGAACACATCCTACAAATGGTTCCCCTTCCTTGTGGGACCTATGGGCTGAGTTGCTTATATATGTGATATTGGAATGTGGATTTGTTTTTAAAAGGTTTTCAGTAGGCGAGTACCTACTGGTTTGATAACTGGCAGGAGAGAAAATGAAGGAAAAGACATACCCAGTATGTCTTAGCCTCCTTTCCCTCTAAATCAGGGGTGTGAAACTCGTGTTGTCACCGTGGTGTCACGTGACATATCGTGTCTTTTTCTCCCTTCACTGAACCAGGCATGGCTGTGGCCAGCACGTGGGCATGGCCTTCACTAAACCAGGCGTGGGCGTGGCCAGCACGTGACACATCCGGCCCACGGCACTGCAAGTTTGACAGCCCTGGCCTAGATGAAAACATCAAGAGTAAAGAATAAGTGATGCAAGAAGTGAATTATCAGCTGGCAAAAGGAGAGAGATTAATGACAGACAAAAGGAAAGTTTGCTAGGATCGAAGTAATACAACGCTGTGAAAAAATGTATAGCACTCACATGTTCTTCTGAGCCAAGATGATGGCATTTACGTCTTCTGAGTTCACCATGCTGAGCACACGGCTGCAGAAGACGCCCGAGGCAGTAGGTTCCATCTTAGGCAGACACTGAAATCTGCCCAACACCAGAGAGGGAAGAAAGATACACGATGAGTAAGAAGACTTCCTCTAGGCTTAGGGAGGTATACAGCCTCATATGATCTGAGAAAAAAAGCTTTCTATTATCTATAAGAAAGAAGGAAAGCATCCTCAAAGAAAATAATACCAGTGAGAAACATAAACTATACACAGTGCTGGAAAAGGGGAAGGAGAAAAAGTTCTGTCAGGCCTGTCCCAACTAGATCCCTAGGAAAGAAAGACCCTCGACTCCATTTGGCTGAAGTGATAGGTTCTTTTACTGAGGGTTAGTATTTGCAGCAAGGCAAGGTCTGAGTATTCCTCCACAAAGATACAAAGTTTTCCCCTTATTTGTGGCCCTCCCCCTTGACTGGTCCGTCAGTGTCCAATGGCATCCCGACTTGATGTTTTGGGAACAGCTTTGATGGTAGGCGCATCTAGGAGAGGCTTTGCATTCTTTCCCAGGTCAGGTGTCCTGAGGTGGTAGAATCTGGCCACTTGTCACCTCTGGTTCCTGGCAATGTCCTCCCTCCCCTCCTTACACCCCTCTTCACATCACCCTGCACAACTTCCTTAGCTTCCCCTGCCCCCTCCCTTTGTTTGTGGCAGGATGCCAGCAAGCTTAGCGAAGATGGCAGAGCTGACAAGCCATATTTCCCATATACTGACTTAATCACCACTCTTCAAGAACTCACATTTTTTTTCCATGCCATAAATAAATGTATTGATATAGAACCTTACAGGGAAAATGTCAGTGGGAAAAGTGTGCATCCTTCTCCCTCACCTCTTGCCTTCAAGGGTGAGAAAATTTGACCACATGACTATGGGGATGATGCAAATTTTGTAAGTGCAAGGACCAGTCATAAGTCACTTTTTCCAGTGACATTGTAACTTTGAATGGTTGCTAAATGAATAGTTGTAAGTCGAGGACTATCTGTACTTAGTTTGGGTCTTAATACATCCAATGAAGGCCGGCCCACCTTCTGATTGGGTCATTGGCACCACTGCCAAATTAGTACCAATAATCATAGGCGCCTTGGGTGCAATCCCAAAACAACTGGAGCACCACTTGATTGTTGGGGGCAATATGCTGAATTTGTAAACCGAGGGCTGTAAAGCACTATGAAGCAGGATATAAAGCTAAGTGCAATTACTACTGCTATCATCGCCATTGATAAATTGATTATCAGTCAATTGCAAAAGGCAGCTTTACTTGTTGCAGCTTACATCCTGCAACAATATCTGTAACACTATCAAACATCCACATCTGCCTATCCCAGGTCCTTGGGAAGTTCTCGACATGCAGATCCAAGATTCCAACCCAGTCTGAACACCTGTCTGTTCGACCAAACATAATGTATTGCCTTTATTATATGCCACCCAACTCCCAGCAACTTTGGTTTTTATTCTTCTTGCACTTCAGGAATCTTTGCAAGGTTCAATCAAAATCGCCCTTCTTGCAATAACAGGATTCTCTGACCATATCCCGAACTCTTAAGGGCAGAGTTTCTCAACTTCAGCCAAGTCGATGACGGGTGGACTTCCAACTCCCAGAATTCCCCAGCCAGCGTGGGAGTTGAAGTCCACTTATCCTCTCCCACTTGCTGAGTGTTGAGAAACGCTGCCCTAGACTAAGAGCCATGGGAACCAGGCCTCCCAGCTGGGATATAGTTCCACCAGTAGGTGCAAACTCCCCCAGCCCGCGCTTGTGCTGAGAGTGGGAGCAGGTATAATTGTCCAATTTGCACCCATAATCTTGGGACGATGGGAATTGTAGTTTACTTTATCCAAGTGTTACCAGATGGGGCAGGGGTCCCCCAAACTTGGCAGCTTTAAGATTTGTGGACTTCAACTCCCAGAATTCCCCAGCCAGCATGGGAGTTGAAGTCCACTTACCCTCTCCCACTTGCTGAGTGTTGAGAAACGCTGCCCTAAACTAATCATCCAATTTGCACCCATAATCTTGGGATGATGGGAATTGTAGTTTACTTTATCCAAGTGTTACCAGATGGGGCAGGGGGGTCCCCCAAACTTGGCAGCTTTAAGACTTGTGGACTTCAACTCCCAGAATTCCCCAGCCAGCGTGGGAGTTGAAGTCCACTTGCTAATATAAACTGTGGGCGGTGCAGTGGTTAGAATGCAGTATTGCAGGCTAACTCTGCCCACTGCCGGGAGTTCGATCCTGAACGGCTCAAGGTTGACTCAGGCTTCCATCCTTCCTTCCGAGGTCGATAAAATGAAGACCCAGATTGTTGGGGACCATATACTGACTCTGTAAAACCGCTTAGAGAGGGCTTACAAAGTGGTATGTAAGTCTTAAGTGCTATTGCTATAAAGGAAACAGTTAAACAGAGGTCTTCAAACTTGGCAGCTTTAAGACTTGTGGACTTCAACTCCCAGAATTCTCCAGCCAGCAAAGCTGGCTGGAGAATTCTGGGAGTTGAAGTCCACAAGTCTTAAAGCTGCCAAGTTTGAAGACCTCTGAGATGGGGGGGGGGAGATAGCTGCTCTCCTGAGTTAGAAGCAGCGAACCTTCAAGTAGCTCCGCCCCTTTTCCCGCCAAGACTCCTCCCTCTTGCCCCCCCCCACGCGCAGGTATCCTCTGCCCGGGAGCAGGTATGACCACCACGCCTATTGTCCCTACCTGAAGGAGTGAACCAGCCAACGGATCACATGTCGGACGCTAAAAGGGGGATCCGCGGGCGGGCGGGAGCGAGCGAGCGAGGAGGGAGAGACCGGGAGGGAAAAAAAAAAAAACTTTCCCTCTTTTTCAAACCCACCACCGATTGTTAACTCGGGCCATAGACCCAGAGAGCAAGCCCGCTCACTTCCGGGTTGGGCTGGGTCACGTGACGCGCGCGCGCGCGAGACCTCGCTGGCGCTTTTTTTTGCGTGCGAGCGAGTGGAGGGCGGCGTGGGGGGCGGGGGGGCGGAAACGAAGGAGCCCACTTCAGCCCCGCCCCTCCCCTCCCTCCCCCGGCCGTGCCCCGCCCCCTCCCTGTGTTCTCATTGGACAAAACGTTGCCCCGCCCCCAAAACACCCAGCTTTGGCTGAATTCTGAACGGGGAGATTGGGAAAGGCCCTTTAAAAGTGGCAGCGGGAGAAGAGGACCTCTGGGGATGGGCAGAGTGCATTTCTACGCAGACAGCAAGGTAGGCGCGACTTGGTCTCGGCGGGTTTCTTCCTCCCGATCTCCCCTTCCTTTCCTCCCCCCCCCAAAGTCCATCGAGCATGATTTTGCTACGCATGTGCAGAATGCGTTCTGTGCAATAAAATTACAGACGCCCAAGATTTGGGAATACAGGACGCAGAATGCATTTCTCGTGAAGCCATTGCAGAAAATTGGGGGGTGGGGGGTGGGAGCTTGGCCTGTGTGCAATGCTTCTTTGGAAGGGGCGGTGCAGCAAGATTGCATGAAGCACGCTATAGTTTCGCTGCAGAGGACAAGGTGTTTCCCCCCCCCCCCAGGAATTCAGAAAAGGATCTTTTTTTTTTTATCTTGACCAGATAGCAGGACCGGACGCGTAGAATTAGAAATTATGCCCAGTGCCATGCTTTGTATGCAGTAAACATAACTGCTTTGCCGGGTTTCTGGGCATGTACAGAATGTAGGCTTTCTTCTCAGGCAGCAAGATGGCTGTGTCTCTCCTGCAGATCCTTGAAATGCATTCCACCAGCAGTTGGAGCTGCAGCGGGCACACGACTGTTGTTTACTCAAACCAAGGCTTGTTTTCCAAATAATTAAAAAGTATCCGTTGAAAGATCTGGTAGGTGTGCATGTAAGGATGTCCAGTAGATTTTCTATTGGGAATCTTCTATCGAAATCTTGCAACAGGGGTCATGCATTATAAATAGCCAGCTAACGCAATAAAGGAGGATGTTTGAAATGAGGGGTCTTTGGTATTCTCTGAGCTTGGTTGGTTTCTTGCAGATGTTTCATTACCCAAAGTAGATAACATCATCAAGTTTGCAGGATCTGATCTGGGTTGGTCAAACCAGAGGTTTTGTCTTCCGAGCTTTCGGACTCGTGCTGGAGCCCATCTAGCTAGACTAGAGAGAAGTTCCCTGAAAATGGGCTCCAGCACGAGTCCGAAAGCTCAGAAGACAAAATCTCTGGTCTGACCAACCCAGATCGAATCCTGCAGCATTATCCTCGGACATGTATGTTCACCTTGATTCGTGATCATCAGGTTTGGGTAACAGGATGCTAAGCCATATGTACTGCATTGTGACAGATGTGTCACACAGATGTGTAAATCCAGCTGCCATGTCATTATTTATTACCTCTGGTCTTCAACAAACTCTCCTTTCACTATCTCCTTTAAAAAGAGCCTTCTTACTGATGATGCCTGGTTCTGGAATGTTCTCCCTAAATATATTTGCTTGGTGACTAATTCATTGCCTTTGCAGTGAGAAGACTGTTTATTTTCCTGAGTTTTTAAAATGCAATGTTTATTTCACTGGCTATATTATGCCACTATTAAAAATCCTAGCTTTGGGGAAGATTGGGGGTGTGTGGGATTGGTGTGTGTGCTTTCATTTCAACTTTTATTATTTTTGCAAGCCTTTCCTAAGAATATCACTGAAGTATATCCTAGAAATATTGAAGTGTAAAAATGTTTACAATAAATAACTACAGTGAGTTTCAGAGTCCCCCTTTTCTATTATGGCAGTAATCATTAGAGTTTTGTGACATTTCCCTTCCCACATGAGAGTAAAGTTACTATTTGACAGTATTTGATCATTTCCAAATGTTTGTTTTGGGCCAACAAATTCATGTATATATTTCTAAATTTACACAGTGAGAATAGTCGTAGAGTTGGACAGTTGGACATTAACTGTTAACAGTTAATGCTTAACTTTATGCTGACTAATCCTGAGAGTCTATTCTGGAAGACTGGCTAGGTGCTAAAATATTTCTTTTCAAGAGCAGAAGTTAATCTTGTCAAGTAAAATTCCCTAAAGGCATGAAAACAATCTCCCCTCTCTTCAACTAGTTAGCCTTGAAAGAAGTGGTCTATTAACCATTAAGCAGACTAAGCATGTGCTTAGGACACCAGGCCCAAAGGGGGCACCACAAAGTTGAGAAGGAAAAAAAAACAACAATGAAGATTTGTAAAAAATTCTTTGATAAAAATTGAATCTTGGAGCACCAAGATTTGTCAGTGCTTAGGGCACCAGTGAGCCTTAATCTGCCACTGCTTGAAAGTAAGATATCTCTGGGAAAACTCCGTTGTGGGTCATTGGTAGCAATTTAAAATAAAGATTGGGTTGCTGGAGATATTTAGAGTCTAATGTGGAATTATCATTTTTTTTCATTGTGTATGAGATTTCCCCCATTGTTTTGAAAGTTAATTATTAAAGGCATCTTTGGTTTAGAATATTAAAAACAACTGAAGAATTTTTTGACCCAGAAAAGACTGGTTTCTCTACCTTCTCTTTTCTTTTTCCAACATGGAATCCTTCTGCCTTCCCTATTTGTCCAGATTTGGCTAGAATTCATGATGCTTCCTTCACAACAGCCTTGTAAGATAGGGAGATAGGACCATTCCATCAGATCCTGCAGGAGAGGTATGTTAGGGATATTGTCTAGTAAGGAATATCATTTGATGAAACCCAAGAAGAGGCCGTGCCCTGCTCTAGCACCCCTCCTTTGGAACATCATTCACCCAGAATTTAGGTTGGTTTCTATCCTTTTGGGCTTTAAGAAGAGTCTGAAAACATGGCTGTGCCATGGTGCTTGAGGTCTGGTGATAGTGGTCAGACATGATTATATTAAATGGGTTCTATTGCTTGTATTTGCCTGCTAACTCTGCTTATGTTTTGTGTTTAATAGTGGTTTTAACAGAGTTATATGATGTTTTTATTTATATTTGTATTGTACTCACTATTGTTTTTAATCGCTCTGAGGTTCTCAGAGCCACATTTCACTAATAATAACAGAATAGTGTTGGAAGGAACCTTGGAGGTCATCTAGTCCAACCCCCGGCTCAATCAGGAGACCCTATATCAGTAACAGCTAACCTTTTCAGCACCAAGTGCCGAAACTGGAGTGTGCGTGCCAGAGCACCAGAACCTGGAAGAGGGCAGCTGGCTGGTGCGCACGTGCATGCCAGAACCGGGAAGAGAGCATCTGGCCAGTGTGCATGCGCACTAGGGAGCCCGGAAAAGCAGCTGAAGATGGCGCTAGCTGCTCTTCCGGGTTCTGTTGCGCTGGTCCAGCTGGCACGCTAGAACCCAGAAGAGAGCAGCTAGTCAGTGTGCATGCGCACAATGGAACCCGGAAGAGCAGCAGGCAATGGCGCGCATGCCCACAGAGAGAGCTCTGCATGCCACCTCTGGCATGTGTGCCATAGGTTCGCCATCATGGTGCTATACCAGAGGTGAAATGTAAAGTTTGTTACTACTGGTTCTGTGGGCGTGGCTTGGTGGGGGAGGTGTAATGTGACTGGGTGGGCGTGACCAACTTTTTTTAAAAAAAAACTTTTCAAAGTATTTTTTCTAATGCTTTGAAAAGCCTCTGCCGATCAGGAAACTCAGCTGGGATCGTCAGACAGGCTTTTCAAAGCATTTTTTTTACCACCTCTTCGGCCAAGAGGTTGCAGGAAAAAATGCTTTGAAAAGCCTCTGATGATCCCAGCTGAGCCGCGCGATCATCAGAGGCTTTTTTTTTTTTAAAGCATTTTTTCGTCAGAAGAGGATGTAGAAAAAATGTTTCTAAAAGTAAAAAAAAAAAAAAGGCTCTGATGATCTTGTGGCTCAACTGGGTGGGGCGGGGGGGGCGCAGGGATTTTTGCTACCGGTTCTCCGAACCACCCGCTGCCATCACTACCGGATCAGGCGATCCGGTCCAAACCGGGAGCATTTCACCCCTGCCCTATACCATTCCGGACAAGTGACTGTCCAGTCTCTTCTTAAAAGCCTCCAGTAATGGAGCACCCACAAGTTCTGAAGACAAGCTTTTCCATCGGTTAATTGTTCTCTGTCAGGAAATTCCTCCTTAGTTCTAAGTTAGATCTCTCCTTGATTCGTTTCCACCCATTGCTTCTTTTCCTGCCTTCAGGTGCTTTGGAACAGTGGTCACCAATCAGTGGTCCACGGGCCACTGGTGGTCCATGAAAAAATTTTGGTGGTGTGCAGAAAAATTATTTGCATTTTTTATATTGCCCTAAATACTATTTATCTTTTTTAAAAAATCATATTAGTGGTCCTCGGGATTTAAAGTTATGAATTTAGTGGTCCCTGAGGTCCGAAAGGTTTGTGACCCCTGCTTTGGAAAATAGGTTGTCCCTCTCTTCTTTGTGGCAGCCCCTGAGGTATTGGAACACTGCTATCATGTCTCCCCTAGTCCTTCTTTTCATTAGTCATACCCAAATCCTGCAACCATTCTCCATATGTTTTAGCCTCCGATGGGTTGCTATACAAATTTAATAAATAAGTTATACATTCCTACAGTTCATGTAGTTTTCAGAAGACCTAAAACTGCAACTAAAAAAGAAATCCATCCCTGCCCTTCGTTGTCCTTTCCCCTTTCCATTTCCTAAAACTCTTAAAATTTGTAAGTTGAGTGGCTCTGATTGATTTTAAAATAGTTCAGTCAGTGTCTCTTCCGTTTTACTTTTCCGGGGAATGTAATCATAGTGGCTTCTGAAGTGATGACGATAAACACCCTTGTAAATAAAGCAAAGTTGCATTTACATCAGAAACAAAACAAACAAAAAAGAATATATTACACATCCCAGCTGAATAAATACAAAATTTATACAAATATATATGTATACAAATTAAATTAATAATAAATAAAAACCAAAGATGAAAACCAAACATTGAACCCCCAGAGCTTAAAAGTAGCAAT